CCGAACCGACAACTTCGAAAAATTCGGCATGACAATCAAACATTGTGTTATCTACCATCGGTCACGCTATCCGATCACAATTAATGATGAGCGCAATCGTCCGCGTTCGAACCGCCGACGGAATATTTACTAGAGCTCGTGCGTTGCTTGATAGTTGTGCTTCGGCTCATTTTGTTACCGAGAAGCTCGTGCGGCAATTAAAGCTCCCAACACAGCCATGTTCTATTCCAATTAATGCGATTAACGGAATGACGACGATGTCAAGGAGTTTTATTGAAATCGCGTTCCGATCTCTTCATAGCGAGTTTCAGAAATCTTTGACGTGCTTGGTCGTTCCGCGAATTGCGGATTACGTGCCGGATGAACTGTTTCCGCGTGAATCAATTAAGATACCTTCGAATCTATGTCTCGCAGATCCCGAATTTCACATACCGCGTCCCGTGGATCTTTTGATCGGCTCTGGTGCTACTTTATCGTTGCTCTCAATAGGACAAATTAAAGTAGCTGGTGATGGCGATCTTTTTCTACAAAAAACCCAACTCGGATGGGTAATAGTAGGTGGTGTGACGGATAACACCGAGAAACCAGTAGTTTTATGTAATTTGTCCGAATTAAAAGAACAAATTGCCAAATTTTGGTTAATCGAAAACGCTGACACGGAAATATCGAAATCTTCGGAGGAAGCATTATGTGAGACACATTACCGCGAGAACACAACGCGCGATGCGTCCGGGCGATATATCGTACGTTTGCCTTTTCGCGCCGGTGATAAAGATTTAGGCGATTCTCGACGATATGCTTTGCGTCGATTTCATACGCTTCAGAGAAAATTGAATTCAAATTTAACACTTAAGGCTGAATACTCCAAGGTGATGCAAGAGTATATTGCTCTTGGTCACATGTCTTTGGTTGATGAGGAATCGGTAACTGGTTATTACATGCCTCATCACGCTGTAATTAAGACAACGAGCGCGACTACGAAGGTTCGTGTTGTCTTCGACGCGTCAGCCAAAACGGACAGGAATCTTTCGCTTAACGATAAGCTCATGATCGGTCCCACAATACAGGACAAGCTCTTCGAGCATTTAGTAAGATTTCGCACTCATACGTACGTCATCACTGCAGACATCGAAAAGATGTACCGGCAAATATTGATTCATCCTCAAGATCGGAAATATCAGCGCATATTCTGGTATGACGACAATCGCGTTCGAACATTCGAACTTAATACGGTTACCTTCGGTGTGTCTTCTGCACCGTATCTCGCAATTCGCACAATCCAACGGCTCGCGGACGACGAGAGCGCAGACTTTCCATATGCATCAAAAATTTTAAAACGAGACCTGTACGTCGACGATCTTTTAACCGGGGCAAATTCATTGCAGGAAGTTTTGAGAATACGCGACGAAGTCATCGAAGTCCTGAGGCGAGGTGGATTTAATATCCGTCAATGGGCCTCTAATCACAATCACGCTCTCGATAACATAAACGAAAAGATTATTGGTTTAGATCATATGGTCGATAAGAACGTTGTAGTAAAGACTTTAGGGATCGGATGGTACGCTCAAGGAGATAAATTCGTTTATACCGTAAAACCAATCGAATCTCCGATCAAATCGACGAAACGCGGAATTCTATCAGAAATTGCAAAAATCTTCGATCCGCTCGGTCTTCTTGGGCCCGTGATTTTAACGGCGAAGACTTTCATGCAGGAAT